TAATTTGCATAACAATATAATATGTTAATGACTTCTATTGTATTTATTGTTGTATAAAATTGTTCTATTGATTATCCCGAATTAAACGGTTGGTAACCCTAGGCTATGTTGTGTAATGTAATCAACAGAAAGCTATGAGCAAATACTCGTTAGGAGTTTTGTCCAGCTGACTGAAGAATGATAGACTGTCTGTGGTAAATCACAGACTGATGAAAAATTTGGAATTTGAATGGGAACTTGGGTACATGACATGATGTATGTTTCTTCTGAGAGTTGGGAGGATTGGTGTCGTATCAAATCACCCCTTGAACGAGACACATATTCTCAGCTATTTATTGACCACTTCTTCTTTTTGTTGTGGACAGACAATGCTTTGGATTTCTGTTTCTTTCTTACTCAGTTCGAAAAAATGTGATAATAATTTGAATAACCAGAGCATTACACAAACAGTAGAATAATTATTGACAAACAATATTATACCACTCTTGGTCATGTGACCCATTGTGGCAGTGTAATTATTCCAACTAAACACTTGGCTTGAGTCTTTATGTAGATTTGTAAACAGCCACAGTTTTTGTCATATGCGAATAAGTAATCACCAAAGTTGTTTTCACATGCATACTAGTGATCACCATAGATTGTTTCATGCATATTATTAATAACCCTCAGTTGTAGTTAGTGCACATGTAGATTGGTAACAGGGTTTGTGCTAGTGTCTCTGCAAGACGAGTCCCACTTACAAAATTTTAAGAAATTGCCTAAAAAACTGGGTCCCTCTTCAATAATTGGAGTCATAATGTGGGGTTAACGCAATGCCTGTGTACTTTGTACTCTTGTTACTGTGAGGTATTTCTGAAATTAGAGCTTGGCCAGGTGTGACGGTTCGGAATTTTGGAGATGACTGATAGTTCTTCGTCATCTAAGTTAGATAAGCTGGGTTTGACTATCGTATTGGTAGTCCCTGCCTCTAACCACTACTCTATGTTGGATTTGGTTGGGTTAGCAACCAACTTTTTTAATAATAGAGCAAGAACTTAATTTCATTGTCAACTCCAGTCATTATACCTTGCCTAAAACTGCACAATCGTAGCCATTGTTTTAGCTGAGATGTAGTGTCTGATTTACAATAATGGTTTACAAGTTATGTACAGTTACATGTATGTGTATCTGTTGCTAATACAATATCACTATAATCAGTGTTGTTGGTTTACACTTTACATACGGATACAAGTGTCGTCTCCAGACAGTATCATACATTCTTGATTGATATTCTAATAATAACTATGTATGATTTTGTTATACACATGCATTTGTGGGGAGCAGGGCAGTCTTGTTTGGTAGCCACACTTAACTCTTTCTTGTGACAGGCATTTTATGATTCTTTTTGTAGAACACAGACTATTACGATACTTTGTTTTGCCCAGCACTGATTTATTAACAAAATGAGGTTTATAGTCAAACATAACATTGTGCTGCAAACTGCACATTTAGTCAAATACAAGCCCAAATGAGTCGTTTACTTTCTGGTCTACCCCTGCAGCTGCAGCGCTTCGCACTGCCGAGAGCCATTTTTTTTTTTTTTGGCCTGTTGTTACAGGATGATGCCTGCTATTAAATGCATTTGTGAAACCCCTGTGTAACAAAAATTAAATATGGCAGATAACAAAATGTGCATATGAAAAATGTTGAATTGTGGGTAGAAGTCTCTTTTATGTTACAGAAAGTTTTGTCCCCAGCCAGATTTTTTTTAGGCAAATGGCGAGCTAGATATTTTATTCAATTGCCATTTATTGAATTTAATCACCATGGTGACCACAATGATCAAAATCTATAGGGGTGGGTATGTCTTTTTTAATAAAAACTTAAAAGTCTGTCCATCATTTCAAATTAAACTCTTTTTATATTTTCAGATTGAACCCAAGCCGCATTTTTGAATGTCTGGTGGAAGTTGAAGCACCAGAGAATATTGATTCTGGTAAGTTTGAGTATAACTACTTAGTAATTATTTGTGACTTTATATCGCAGTTGTTATACAATACTTGTATTCATGCTACACTCTAAGGACTGACGAAGATTAAAGCTAATCTCTTATGTATATAGACCATGTTGTGTCCAATGTTAGGAATAATGCCAGTCTTTGTAATTTTTATTTCCCCATTCTAACTCCATGGTTACAACAACAATGAAAATGTAGGAAATATTAAAGGGTCTCTTTGTCAATCCATTTTTTTGGGGGGACAAAGTCTCTGGATTCACCCATGTTACTTGCCATGTAGAAAGTGACATTCCATGCAAAATGAAGTAACGTAAATAGCATTTTTAACCTCTTAGCCTGTGTGTAAATACAACAATTGTAAGCTGTCTAGCAGCAGTTACAGATTACTCTTACTGCTAGTACAGTGAATTTCATTAAAGTATGAATGTTTTTTTTAAATAAATATTTATAAATGTTTTATCATTTTCAAATGAAAGTTGAAAACAGATACAACATCAATGAAGGAAACTTGCAAAGACTCATGGGTAATGGGCATCACCAAATGACTTCTAATGAAGGCATATTTTTGGATTTGAGTAAAATGCAGGGTTGAAATGGATTATAAATATTTTATAATTTTCCATAAAAATTATTCATGCTTTCATGAAAATCACTGTAGTCAGAATTGTAATGTTTAGAATATATTATAATCAATGCTATATTGTTATTAAAGTACTTATTTTTTACTGGGGTTTAATTTTACTATTTTTATCATATTCTTTGGGTTTAAATTCATAGATTTTCTCGTGAAACAATGAGTAACATAGTTTTACACTAATGTTCATGTTTTAGTGGATTTCACTTATCAGCAAAAATTCAATCTCGGTAAACAAATAATTAGTTTTTACTTTAAGGTAGAGATGCAGTTTACCTGACAGGTATTTTAATTAGTTAATTAGGAAACCAAGATGACCTCCCTTGTCTACACTATAGGTTGAAATATGCACAAAAATGTGCTTTTTTGGTCAAAAGTGATTTAAAAAAAAACAGCTTCCAAATCATGCGTCTGTTTCCTGTCAAAATTGGTTTATGGGTACATCTGTTTACTATGAAAAAAGTGCCGTCTTGAAAATTGTCTACCAGTTGTCAATTTTGCAGGGCAGCAGCCCAAATTTCACAACTTCAAGTTTATGCATAAATTAACACCCAGGCTAGTTGTCTGTACGATTGCTGTAACACTATTCAACTAACAATGCCCCAACGGTGTTTTGAAGATAAACACATTGTCAATCATTTGTGGAAATTTCTAAACAAAAGGTCAAAGCGTCTAGGAGCTTTTTTTTTTTTAAAGTTCTGGGACTAAAAAGAAGCTGAGATAATTTCTAATTTGCATAACAATTCACTCGATAAGAAGTTTGCTAATGCTCATAATTAAAATGGCTGTAACAGTTCCAAATTTAAATGTATTATCGTTTTGTTAAAAGTTAAATATAATGCATAATATAGAGATCCCGTCATTCCTTTTTTTCACCATGTTTCTTTTTTATTATTTATGTACAGCCTTGCTAAATCTTGGTATGCATTCAAAAGAGAGAATGTTTGCACCTGTTATCTATATTTAAAAATCGTTTTTTGAGTATGTTCACAATTCACAATTCTACAAAATTTTAACAGTCTATAGCCAAGACTGTTTGGATAATAAAAAGCAAAACAAAAAAATTTCACTCCCAAGTGCTCACGAACCCAATCAGGGAACTGTCTTCCTCAAATAGACCCATTAAAGCTATCATAGTTTCTGTTCAAATTAAGTTCATAACGGGGACTTATAATTCGGTCTCAGTATGTCCAGAGTAACTCTTCTGACCGAATGTGCCTAGTGCACTATGTGGGACATTTGCAGATTTAGTGGTTTAGTAATTTGATTCAAGATGGCTGACTGGCAGCCAGTATAAAGTGGGGTCTTCGAAATGCTTTGTCAGTTATTTACAAGTTTGGTTCGTACATAACTACATGTTGTATACTGACAATTAATTTTAATGATTTTCACTCATTTATGACAATTTGTCTCTCATGTATGTTGGAATACATGTCCATGTCAGTTTGTTTCATAATTAGATTTGAGATGGTCGAATGGCAGCTTTTTTTTCCACCATGGTACTATATATCTACACTGTATCAGCAATGTACTGTTTTCATTTATGTTTAACAAATGCATCATAAATACATGTACATGTTCTTGTCAATTCATTTTGTGATTTTGTGAATTGATCAAAGATGTAATATTCTGCACATGCATATAAATCCATGCATATAAAGACCACCTGACTATTTGGTTGTGAGCGTGACTGAAAGTTGGAGCGCTTGTGCGTGTTGATTATAATGTGACGTCAGGCACAGAAATATTAATCTGCGCTGTGAACATTTGAATATATGGTAAAAATAAGATTAATAACCGAGATAAATGAAACAATTGTTTAATTTTAATTGTACCTATAAGGTATATACGATACAACCTGGATATAGCTTTTGCAGTCTTCGGTCTATTGCTAACGCACCCTCTCAAGCTTGTACGCTTCCGCCTGCTGAAGGGACATCCCCTTTTATGTTTTAGTCACAATTACCGATGTAGGGTACAATGCATATCTCACCCAGGTTGGATCATTTCAGTTGACTTTTGACCTGTTTTGTTAAAAAGGAGGAAGTGCATTTCTATATTGCCCTTAGTGCCTGGTGTCTTACATAGTTGGCATGGAGATAAGATAAGATAAGATAATTATGAATTTTATAAATTGTCATAAAATTTGTACTTTTACTTTTAAAAATTTAATGTGTCTTCTTTTTTTCTCTCTAAAATTCTGCAAATATAGGTGTTTTTTTCTTGGTCTGAAACATCCAAAAGCGACTTCTGAGCATGCTGTGGAATAAATGTTTTCATTTTTTTTTACTACAGTTACCGTACTTATCTGGGTAAGAGCCCATGCCTGGGCAAACGCCCACCCCCCCACTTTTGACACAATAAAGGAGTTGAGGTCATATCCGCACACGCTCAGGGGGTCTTTTTCTACAAAAAAAAAACTATTTTCTATTCGTTGACTGTGGTTGTATTAACAGTTGACTTTCTTGAAGACTGTCATGATACTTATAAAAAATGTTAATTGCGTAAAACAAGGGGTGAACGCAAAATAGCTGTTACAGCTTTCTGCCTTCAGGGCAGCGCGTTCTGAATCATAACAGTCAGCAAGTCTATAAAAATATGTATTAAAGCAGAAACAGTAGTTCTCTTTTTAAAATATGTCGTGGCCCTAAAAAATGGCCGGTCGTTTGGTTTGTGCTTCCTTATTAACTTAGAAACGATTCAGGCAAATCGTAAAAGGAGAGCCGCAAGTGTCGCACTCGATCGGCTTTAGCGTCCTCGACAATGAAACCAATGTTGCAAT